GGGGGAGGGGGAGGAGGAGGAGGGGGAGGGGGAGGAGGAGGAGGACAGGAAAAAAGAGGAAGAGGAAGAGGAAGAGGAAAAGGTGGAAGACGAGGTGAAGGGGTGAGATTTACCACTATCATAGGACAAAAATGTAATACAAAAAAGGCAAAAAAAATAAAATAATAAACACTGAAAAAAAACCCCACTGAGCTTTAACAAAAAAGAATATGCACAAACCACAACTGCAACACCTTTTATTTCCTTCTCTTCCCCATATTTATTCAACAAATTTAAATTTGAAAAACAAAGAAACAAACAAAAAACATGTATTTTATAGTAAGTACTGTGAGGCAAGTTCTTGGACACTAAGAACAAATAAAGATGCGATGACAGAAATACTAAAAAAAGATTTGACCAGTCTAATTAATCTTAAGATTTCACTATGTTATTCTGATAAAGAATGAAATTTCCACTTTCTAAACATGTTTCTATCTCTATGTTTTAAGTATTTTTAAATGGGTTAAAAAAATTCTTGAGTATTAAATAAGATTATACATGTAAGGTGCTTAGGACCATTCCAAGTTCAGGACAACCATTTGATAACTTTTGATTTTGTTGTTTTTATCATTCCTATCACAGTTGTTATTGGTGGTGATGATGGTGGTGATATTTTCCATGTGTTATCAAGGCTTCTAATGCCATTATTTATCTTTGTAGTATATGTGTTTTGGAATGGCTTAAGTGGTATTTGTACATGTTGTTAGGAGACAAATTTATTATTTCTACTTCATGTTCAATATTTCATTAAAGCCTTGCTGTAATTCTTTACTAGGCTATACAATTTGTTGACACCAAGGGCTAATAAATGTCAAAAGTTTAATTATTTGTGATTGAGCAATATGGCTGCTTCCAAATTTATGTTATAAAATAAAATAAAAATTTTTAAATAGTTATTTACTTATAGTTATTCAATATCTATAGTAAAAGTTCATAAATTAGTAATATAAATTAACTACTTACCACTTGTAGTACTAATAAATGAACTGAGTAAAAATGAGTAACATAAGCAAAATACATCAAATGGTATAAACTTGATGTTTATTAACTGTATTATATCAAAAGCCTGTTCTTAAATGGGACAACATGAGAATTATATAAAAAAGCAATGAACTATCCTCTTGTATTTGATAGTTTCTGGTTTTTTGTTTGTTTGTTTTCACTTGCTTTGTTTTGTTTTTCAAGAGCTCTGAGATAGATAGATATAGATATAGATATATAAAATTTCCATGAAGTCAGCCTCTTTTCTACCCAGCCTCCTGAGAAAAAGCCTGAGGTAGAGAAAAGGGGCTGGTTCTCTACAGTGATTTTATTTATTATTATTATCTTATATTTGTGTGTCATTTCATAGCTTCTGAAGTGCTTTCACATAATTATTTAATACTCAAAGCCACTCTGTGGAGTTGGTATTGCTTCCACTTTTAAACTGAGAAAACTGATTTTGCATTTGCAAAGTGGTTCAATCTAGGACTGAGAACAAATTACTTTCTGAACATTCTGATGCATTTATAAGCATAAATTCCTCACCATACCATGTTCTATTCCCACTGCGACAAACCTTGCTCTGTATCTATAATCTGATTCCTACTCCTCTACGTCTACTCTTCGCCATGTTCTCGGTGATTTCATGGAATATGATTGCTACAGGCCAGTGGTTCTTAACTGGGGGCAATTTTGCCACCTCTCCACCAATGACATATGGCAGTGTTTGGGAACATTTTTGATTGCCACAACCAGGAAGGTGCTGCTGTTGTCTAGTGGGTAGAGGTCAGAAATGCTGCTAAACATCCTGAAGTACACAGGACAAGCCCTCACAACAAAGAATGATCTGGTCCAAAATGCCAATAGTGTCACTTTGTTTTTGTGATTCTGTCTCCCCAGTTTGGGTGATGGTCCACTGACCGCAGCTGGGCCCAGTCATGGTGTTTGGTTTGGGGATCCAGACAGACATTCGAGGCATGTCCTCCTTGGTGGCTAAAATTTTAATATGTGAAGCTCTGAGGCTATGTAGCATACCACATGGAAAGAAAGAATGAAGTCCAAACACAGAGAGAAGCAGTGAAAGACTGTTTGTTGTCTCTGACACCTAGTTTCATCCCAACGTTTCACATGAACTGTTTTGTTTTTTCAGAATATATCCTAATTCTATCCAGTAAGTGTACCTCTTATGTTATTTTGAATTCAATTCCTCTGATTCAACTGAAGGACATTCATACTACAAATTTATTTTAATTAAAATTTTCATTATTCTGAAACAGCATGAACAAAAACTCAATTTATAGATGTTCTTCATATCATCATGTGGTCAAAGGAACAGTTTCTTCTTAAGTTTTATTTCCCAAATCTTTGTTTTTGGTATCATCTCTAGCTCTCCTAGAACCACACACCCTATGTGCTTAGAATACTTGTTTTTATCCTTATTACATGAGTCACAGGTGGATTCCTTCAGCTAGATCAAGGGATTATTTGTATGAATCCCAGAGGTGTCTGGGAAAGTTCTTCCATGGCTCTGAGTTCAGGAATGTACTTTAACCAGGATATGCTAGCATAGATAGGCTGGGGTGATAGATGAGCATTTGCTTAATTCCTTAAAGTACTGTGTATTCTATTCTGCATTGTATAACTGAGAATATAGAAATGCTCCTAGCCCTGGTAAGGTAATCTCCAGAAAGTGTCTATACTACATTATGTGCAGGTTCGCCCCAGTATATGACTAGGCCAGAAGAAGACAGTTATGCTTCTAGGCCTTCAGTCATTTACATTTTAACCTCTGCAACCATACATCTGCTGATGAGGTGTAGTACTAGGAAGTTTGCACTCTTTGGTGCTGGAGAATGTTGCTACTGTCTGCCGTATATCCTGACATCCTTTTGTGTCCTTTACATGAGTAAAAACTGTTTGATGTTCTCAAGTGTTTGTGCCTTGTTTATCCATCAATACATTTACCTTGTTATTGTAGCAGTTGTGCAGAATGGAAATGACACAAAGACTCCATATCCAATATGGATAAATCTCTGTAGGGAAAACTTTTGGATAATAAAGGGGACAGAGATGATACCATGTGGTACCATGTTGGTTTTCTATTTGCCTTTGATTTAGCTAAGGGCTGGAAAAAATAGTGTGAAAGAATCAGTATACTTTGTCAATAAATATTGACAAAATGTTAGTGATCCAATGCTATCTTGAGTCCTCCATTTAAATGGTCAAAGATCATGTTTGTTATTCCTTAAAACCAGATAAAAGTGAAGATAGTTGGTTTTGCTATAGGTTCCTCAGTTTCCCTTAGCAATGGACTACAGTGCTGTGTGGTAATAGACACTACACAAAGGGAGTCTGGGGAAGAGGAGAACGTTTACAAGGAACAACACACAGCAATGGGGGGAGGAACTACAGTCACAGGGCTTGATGACTCTAGAGGTGGTAGGACCTGCAATTATTTATTATAACCATGAACTCTCTTCTAGATCATTCAACACAATGTTGCCGGGAAACCAGGTTAGTCAGCTGCAGGGGACTGGGATGGAGTGAGGGGGCACTGGACAGTACCTTTCTTTGCCTTCCTTAGCAGAAATTCAACAGTTTTGTCTTGAAAGAGGAAAT